GTCTTGATCCCTTGATTGCATCTGATTGTCCCTTTGATGTCTTGATTTTGATTTGATCGCGGTCGCAAGTGTAACTACAGGCTTGATGAAAGTGACACCCCCTTGCAGTATGGTTGAAAGTATTTTGACCACACCCATAATTTACAAAAATAAAGGAAAATACCGTTTTATTGCCGTAAAAGGGGTGGGGCCAAAATCGCAGCACACTTCCCGCACCCTTAGCACCCCCTTTCCCAATATCTAGATACGTCCTGGAGCCAGTAACTGCAGTAAATAAAATGCATGTACACAAAATGGCTGCCACGTATCAACTTGATTAATTCATTATCAAAAACTTCATTATTGATATGCTAGGAAATGAAATTTTATATGCATTAATTTTCCATAGTATATAGGTGGCATAAAATTAGCAGATGTTGCATGGGATGTCATTAATTTACTCTTAAGTTTGTCATTTTATATAGTCAATGTCCTCATCACAGCCTGAAGGAAAACAGTTATCAACAAGTCACCATGATGATAAGATGTCAGCTGAGCTAGTAAGTCAACAATAATTAATTTTGTAAAAAATATATGTACTTACTATAGATACCAAACCTGCATACATTGAAGGCATTATGCATTATACATGTACTATGTACTATATGTTTTTATGACTTTTTACAACACTGCCCTTTTCACTAAAGCATAATTATCACCTTTACATTATAAATAATTCTTTTATTGCAGACTAAAGAAAGTACATACAGGCCTGACAAGAGTACTACTGCAGTAAGATTAATGATTCATAATTGAGTACATTATATTATGTACTTTAAACAGGGACAGGGAGAAGCAAAATGATATTTTATAACTTGTATCTGGCAATAGAAAAGTGAAATTGGCTAATTTAATATGTAATTTTAAGTTTTTAAAATTAAATTTACATGATTACAGCTTATATAAGTTCACACACACAAAGTTTACTAATTACTATACATTAATATCAACAGTATCATTTGTTTCATTAGTGTTAGTAGATGCATGTGGTGAGGGTACTGTGTTACTTTTTATTCCATCATTTTCCTCTAATTTTCCGCCACAATAACTCATCACATACCAAATCCTTATTAATATCTTCCTTAGTTCAGGCCTGAAGTATGCTTGTATCAGTGAAATTGTAATAGTATTAAGAAGATACAGTACCAAAGCTGTAGCATACACTGGACTAGGAACATTCTCATATCCAACAATGAATCCTATTATACTGGCAGTAATGTATAAAGACAGTGATACCAAGTGTGCTATAAGTAATGATCCAAATATCCCAATGAGATCACACTTTGTGATTATAAACACTGTCACGCATCCTCTCCTGCTCATTGTTGAATGGATAAGAGCTTTTATTAGACTACCTTGTTCTTTGTAAAAACTGTTTTTTTGCATTTATTTACGCCCACGCTATTAAAGGCGGTGCCGGTGCAAATAACTAGCCCCGCCTC